GCGGAGCACCATCCGAGGCGTCGACGGGCAAGATTCGGAGCCCTTACGCGGCGCGATTCGGAGCCCCATTCGGGACGTCGATGGGCAAGATTCGGAGCAGGAGCGCGGCCGCCGCAGGCAAGATTCGGAGGTGGGATTCGGCTACATGAGGTGCGATCAGCGCCGTCCTCAACAGCCTCTCAGAAGCATCGGGGGGGCCCTGTGGGAGCTTCTCCGGAGCCTCTCAGGATCATCTCAGACTCTTCGCGCTCGTGCCCGCGCAAAGGCGGGCTCAATGCCCCCCCGGCGCTGCGTCGTGTAATGGAACGTGCGATTTGCATCTTTCAGATTGGAAGAGGAAGCCGCATTCACATGCCATCTTGGGGGGGCAGTTCAGCCCGACCATTTGTTTTCTTTTTCTACCGTTCCTATTTTTTTCCTCTCTCCCTCTCTGCCTCTAATCAACCGCCCCCCTCTTCGCTCCTTCTCTCCTGGCGTTTTTCCTCATCCTTCGTCCCTCCCCCCCCCTTCCTCCTACTCTCCCTCGTTCTCCCTCTCCTCTTTTTGCAGGGCCCGCGCCAATTCCAATGGCGGGCACATGTGCGCCCACGAAGGGTTGTCCGCCCGTTCAGTTTTGCCCGCCCGTAGAGGTTAGCCCGCCGCCCCCCGCAAATAAAAATAATCCCCACGAAAGGGGTGTGACCCAAAACAAAAAGGGCGGATATCGAGGGTGTGGGGAACTCGTTTTGAATGACACGCGGGCAAGTAAGAGCGAACAGTCTTATAATGATTGTTGTTGTTCCCCTATATCCTAAGATGGGGTTCTTGTTATTACCTGGACACCTCCTACTTGTCATTCCTTCTCTTCTCCTCCTCCTCCTCCTCCTCCTCCTCCTCCTCCTCCTCGCACTTGGAGTTGTTCATGCACAGACTTACTCATACACAGACTTGCTCATACTCATACCTGATCGTATTAACTTACTCATACTCAGATTTAGCCATATTCGTACCTACTCATACTCATATTTACTCATGCAGAGACTCACTCATACCCATACTTACTCGTACTCAGACTTTCTCACTGTCTGATTTACTCAACACGCAGCAGATTGTGAGGATGTCCCATGCGGGAATCTGGTTTCAGTACGCTTAAGAGGAGCTGCCGAATGGTATTGCACGGTCCCGTTCGCGGCCGTTTTGTGGGGATGCCACAAGCGGTTTGCTGGTTTTTTGTCTCAACATCTTTCGCGTGGGTAGCAGATTGTGAGGATGTCTCAGACGGGGCGCTGGTTTCAGCACCCCGACGGGGAACCGCCGAAGGAGTATTGCATGGTCCCGTTCGCGGCCGTTTTGTGTGGATGTCTCAAGTGATTTGCTTGTTTTCTGCTTCTGCGTTGTGTCCAGAGTGGCTCGCCCCGTTCCGTACGGCTGCCAAGGATGAGTGGCCGGGTGTTGCTGGCATAGAGCTTGTATCACCGTGGGCTGTTGTTTTCTCTCTCCGTGGTGCTTTCCAATCTTGTCGTCGTCAGCGGGAAAGGGGATGTGAGAAAACTCATTCTCCCGCGTGCGTTTTGGGCTGTGGAGGGATAGGCAAAAAAAAAGTTCGCTCTCTAGCTGCGGGAGAGGGAACTTGGAACATGTTAACTTCCCCGCTTGTGGCTCATATGGCTCACATGGCTAGACGCTCATTGAACTATCCCAAATCCAATATTACCTTGTTTAAAAGGGTGCAAATATGGAGAGCTCCATGCATTGAACAATTATTCTCCATATCCTAAGATGGGGTTGTTGCTATAACTCTGACGCCGCTGTCTCCTCAGTCAGGCCTCTTCCCAGTCTCGTCTCGTCCTGCTTCGATTCGGCCATACCCAGATCCCTTCGCACTCATACTATTCAGAGTTGTTCACATTCATATCCATTCATGCTCATATTCAGTCGGATTCGCTCATGCCAAGATTCTGTCGCAGCCATCTATTCATAGTCAGAAGACTCGGAGGATGTCTCAGGTGGGGTGTTGGTTTCAACACCCCTATGGGGAACCGCCAGAGGGGTATTGCATGGCCTTTCAGGCGGTTTGTCTGTTGCGGTGCCCAACGTCGTTCGTGTTGGCCACAGTTTTTGAAAATGTCACAAGTGGGGCGCTGGCTTCAGCACCTTTAAGGGGAGCCGCTAGGGGGTATTGCATGGGCCCGTTCGCGGCCAGTTTGTGGGGATGTTTCATGCGGTTTGCCTGTCTCGGTGGCCAACCTCGTCTGCGTTTAAAAGCAAATTAGGGGAACCGCCAGGGGGTATTGCACGGTCCCGCTCGCGGCCCGTTCGTGGGGATGTCTCAGGCGGTTTGCCTGTTTCGGTGGCCCACGTCGCTTGCGTTCAGAACAGAGCGTGAGGATGTCTCAGGCGGGGCGCTGGTTTCAATACCGTTCGGGGGGCTGCCAGTGGGGTGCGTTCGCGTGCCCGTGCGCTGTCAGTTTGCGGTGTGTCTCAGGCGGTTTGCGTGTTTCGGTGGCCGACATCGTTTGCGTCCAGAGCAGATGTGGGTGATGTCTCACTCGGGGCGTTGGTTTCAGCACCAGTAAAGGGAACCGCCAGACGGCATTGCACGGGCCCGTTGGCGGCCAGTTTGTTGGGGTGTCTCGGGCGGTTTGCCTGTTTCGGTGGCCAACATCGTCTGCGGAAATTTTCGTTAGTGGCGATGTCTCAGGCGGGGCGCTGGTTTCATCACCGTTAAAGAGAGCCGCCAACGGGTGTTTTCACGGGCCCGTTCGCGGCCAATTTGTAAGAACGTCTCATGCGGTTTGCTTGTTTCCGTGCTCAACACCGTTCGCGTTTATGTTAGTTTGTGAAAATGTTTCAGGCGGGCGCTGGTTTCAACACCCCGACGGGCAACCGCCTGTGGTGTTTTCGCGGACCCGTTCGCGTCCCGTTTGTGGGGATGTTTCAGGCGGTTTGCCTGTTTGGTGGCTCGGCATCCTTTGCGGCCAGAACAACTTTGGATGTTCCAGGCGGCGCGGTGGTTTCAGCACCCCTAAGGGGAACCGCCAAGGGTATGACGCAGGCTCGTTCGTGGCCAGTTTGCGGGGGTGTTCCAAGCAGTTTGCCTGTTCTGTTGCTCAACGCCCTTTGTTGTCAAAACATATGTGGAGGATGTTTCAGGCGGGGCGCTGGTTTCAGCACCCCGAAGGGGAGGTGCCAGGGGGTATGGCACGGGCCCGTTCGCGGCCAGTTTGTCGGGGTGTCTCAGGCGGTTTGCCTGTTCTGTGGTTGAACGTCCTTTGCTGTCAGGGCAGGTTTGGAGGATGTCTCAGACGGGGCGCTGGTTTCGGCGCCATTCAGGGGCACCGCCAGGGGATATGACACTGGCCCGTTCGCGGTTGCGAACGAAGGCGACGGCGTCAACAGGGCGCTGGGCGACGCGCGGGACATGGCGGAGGGGGCCGGCAAAGAGTCCGACATGTCACAGCTGGCGGATATGAGGTCACAGGCGTAGTGGTTCGCGCTGTGCCCTTCCGCCCCCCGCCCCGATGCCAAGTGCTGACGACCGTTTTTTTGCGTTGCCAGCTACGCCCGATGCCAAGTGCGGACGGCCAACGCCGATGCGCAAACCACGAAGGTGGCATTTGTAGCAGTCGCTTTTTGCACGGCGCGTGCCCACGGCTTTTGTTTGCGTTGCCAGCCGGGCCCGATGCGAAGTGCGGGCGGCTTTAAGCTGAGGAACATATTGCGATGTGCTGTTTGAAGTAGTTGTCGACCGTACTCTTCCACGGTCGCGGTGCCAGTTGGACTCTTTTCTGTGACAACAATGGCGAGAACATATGCATGTGCGTGACTGTGTACATATGTTGAATGTACAGCCGAGCTGCGCGCGCGTGTGCTCGTCGCTCACATGGACGCGCTGTTCGATCAATGTTCTGACGGACATATCCTCGCCGTGCTCACCATGTCATATGTCTTAACGATCATATGCGCATCCCAAACACAAGCTATTTCATTAAGGAGATCCACGTCTGGGAAGCTCCACGCAGTGAGTATTTGTTGTTTTGGCAGAAGTGGTGACGTTGTTGATGGCGAATATGACGATGATGTCGATGATCCCGCTTCCGATGACAGAGATAATGGTGATGCTGATGACGATGATGACGATGGTGATGACAATGGCGAGGGCGACGACGGTGATGATGATGGTGGTGGTGGTCATGAATACGATGGGGATCTTTGTCGTGATCATGATGAATTTGATTGTGATGATGTTGATGCTGATGTTCGACCTGACGATGATGACGATGGTGATGACGATGTTCATGATGCTGATGATAAGGTTGATGATGATGAGGATCGTCGTAATGATGATGTTGCTGCTACTGGGAATGATGATGACGAGGAGGAGAAGACGGGGGAATGATATGAGAAATATGAGGGGGGAGAGGAGGTGAAGGAGGAGGCGGAAACAAAAAAAAAAAAAAACAGGAGGTGGTCGCGAAATAGCATTACGAGGAGAAGCGACAACGATGACGATGACGATGACGCTGGCGATGACGCAGACGAGGTCGATGTCGATGCCGATGATGATGATGATGATGATGATGCTGCTGCTGATGATGATGATGATGATGATGATGTTGTAAATGAGGATGATGATGATGCTGATGATGATGGTGATGATGGTGATGATGATGATGATGATGATGATAATGATGATGATGATGATGATGCTGATGATGATGATGATGGTGATGGTGATGATGATGATGATGATGATGGTGATGATGATGATGCTGATGACGACGATGATGATGTTGAGGAGGAAGGGGGGGAGGCGAAGGAGGAGGATGAGGAGGAGGAGGAAAAAGAGGAGAACGAGGAGGACCAGGAGGAGGCGGAAGTGAAAGAGCAGGAGGAAGAGGTGGTTGAGGAATCGAAGGAGGAGGCGAAGGAGGCGGACTGCGAGGACGGAGGAAAAAGCTGGGCCGCGCGCGGCCTGACCCACCCACCCTGCCGGGACCCGCGGGGTGCCGAGAACTGAGGTCGGCGCCCCGCCATCTGTGCTGGGCGCTCCGGTGGCCGCCCTCCGTCCGCTGCGCCGCACTCTTCCCGCGGCGGCGCGCCGCCGACGACGACGACGATGACGATGACGGTGACGATGACTTGACGGTGATGATGATAGTGATGATTACCATGATCATGATGATGATGATGACGCTGATGACGATGACGATGATGCTGCTGTTGATGATGTTGATGGTGGTGGTGGTGGTCGTGGTGATGATGATGCTGATGGTGATGATGGTGATGATGGTGCTGATGATGATGACGATGATGATGATGATGATGATGATGATGATGATGATGATGATGATGATGATGATGATGATGTTCGTGATGATTGTGATGCTGATGCGGATGATGGTGATGGTGATGATGGTGATGATGCTGATGATGCTGGTGATGCTGATGGCCCCGGTGATACTCATGATGATGATTATGATGCTGCTGTTGCTGTTACTGTTGGTGCTACTGCTGCTGCTGCCGATGATGATGATGGGGAAGTCAAGGGGGTTCGCGGGTTCGCTCGGGTCGGCTGCTACGCAGTCGGCTACATTCGGTCAGTTCGGTTCGGTCGGTCGCTGTCCGTCCAGGCTGATTTCTGTCCATCGGTTTCGGACGGTTTCGGTTTTGCTATCGGTTCGGACGGTTTTCGATTTTGGTTTTGCCCTGCACGCCTCTGCCTGCGCGGTGCGATGCCCATCGGGGCCGAATGCATCAACGCAAGGCGACTGTGCGCCCCCCCCCGCGCTCTCGCACCCCTCGCGCCCTCGAGGTGGCTCCTGTGTTGCTGCTGCCGCCGGTGGCGGCGCCGAGACGCGAGGGAGTGGGCCGCGTGACCGCCGCGCGCCTGCGCGCCTGCCGCGGGAGTTCTGCCGTCCGCGACCACAACGGGTGTGGTTACGCCGGGTTGTGGTTGTCGATCGGCGCCGTTGGGGCTTTGGGGGCCACCACGTTGCGCCGAAGGTGTATTGAACCTTCGTCTTGTCGTGGCAGAGATCTCTCTCGAGGTCCTCGCCCGCCCCCCCCCTACACACCACACTTCTTGGGTACGCAGGGGAGTGGCTCAAAGTCTGACGTCAAATTTTGTTTCCTATCCCCTGAAGTCTTGCCCATTGCGGGCCACCTTGACAGGATTCAATTCCTCAGTATCGTTTAACCGAGCCCTATCCCCATCCCTATCCCTATCCAGACCCCGAAGGGAATGGCCTACATCCTCGTCTAGGGGGGCAAACCGTCCAGTGGGGCCCAGGCCACGCCCATGAGGATAAGGGTCGGATAAACTAAGCTCAATCTTACTTGAGTCCTTTGCAAACCACACCCTTCGGAGTCGCCGAAGCTGGCATGGGCCCGTGCGGCGGCCCTCTGCCCAGCCGCCGCGGCGCGCCGCGTGGCCACCTCGCTGCGTTGGCTGCGCCGCGCCCGCGCAAGCCGCCGAGCGGCCGGCGAAGAGCTGCCTCCGAGCCGCTGGGGGCAGTGCGGGCGGCTGGCGCGTGTGGTGTCTGTCGACGGCGCGCGCGAGAGGGCAGGTGACGGGGCAGGAGGGTGGAGAGTGGAGGAAGAGGAGGGGAGGAGGAGGAGGAGGAGGAGGAGGAGGAGGAGGAGGAGGAGGAGGAGGAGCCTGAGGAGGAAGTGGAGAAGGAGGAGGAAAAGGAGGAGGAGGAAGAGGAGGAGTCGGGTGAACATAACATTAATAATGCTAATACTAATAATAACAATAACGATAACAGTAGTAATAAGACGGATGATCGTATTACAAGTATTAATATTGCACATGGTATTACTAAGAATAGTGTGGTTATTAATAACAGGAATAATGATACTAGCAATAAGAAACAATCGACCAATACTAATAAGACTAATTATAACCCAGTTGTGAATGATACTAATACTACAAATGAGGCGAATAAGACGAATCTCATGATGATGCGATTCAGAATCATACACATAATAATGCTACTACTATGAAGAGGAGGATAGGGAGGAGGTGGCGGATGATGATGTTGATGAGGAGGAGGAAACGAAGGAGGAAGCAGGCAACGCCGAATTCTAGTAATAGTAATCGAATTAGTTATTAAGTTTGCAAACGTTCGAATTAGAAATCTAGTACGCACAGTAATCACAATGCTAATAAGAGTATCTTTTATCATTAATCAACTACAGGAATTTCAATCATACTATCACGAATCATACGAGTGAGCACGGTAGTACGATTAACAAAACCAATAATGATATTAACATTAATAATGCTAATAGTAAACACATGGTTCATAAACAATCAATAACAATGATGATACACTGAATTAACAAGAACCATATTACTAATAATGACAATCAGAAGAAGAGGAGGGAGAGGAGGAGGAGGAGGAGGAAACTTCGGGCGCAGGAGCCCATGGCAATGCGCCAGCCCTAAGGGGTCCAACCACGAACGTAAATCATTCTAAAGATCACAGTGCCTCTTACATCCTCTATGCCATTCTCCTACATGCACACCTTTTCTTCTTATTATTTACATTGATTGCTCTTCTTGCATCTCCTGCGTTACGGGCATCACGCCAGCGCGGCAGGCTCACGACATCGACATTTGCATCTATGCCCAAGCAGCCACGAACACCACCCAACGGCCATAACGGCCCAGACCCACCTCCACCACGAATCCACCTTCATCTCCAAACCCGGCCTGGCATCGCAGGGAACGGGAAAGGAATGCTGCAACTCGTGCATAATTACGCGTTGCATCTGCACGAACACTAATCGACCGCACCACCCACCAACAGCCTCAAGCAGTACAACACCTGCTTAATCAGCACCACAGCGCACAACCACTACCACGACATACGACCGTAACTAGTACGGTTTTTCCCGATCGCCCCAAGCCAGACGGAACAGGCAAGGAGAAATACCAACAACAACAGCAATACGGCAAAAGGAATAGGCCCAACATGGCAGCCAGGGGGCCATAGCAGGTACACCAACCAAACACAGCTGGTTCCGAACTACTACCCACCGCGGGTGCCCCACATGCATCAAAAAGGAAACACCGAGTATCGGGCAGCACCAGCGACAATCTTCTGGACCCAACAACCGTACGCACCCAACCAACAACGAACGACCGCACCCAGGCAGAGAACCAAACAACGACAATCATCAGCACGCAGCAAACATGACGACCAACCACCACAGCCCAGCTTTGGTAGCAACCCTGACCACCTAGCCTACGCCAATAGAGAGAGCAAAACACTCACCGACAGCATCCCTGAAGCATGCCACGACGATGTAGAGGCAAAAGACAGACCGGGTGCTACACCATTGGAAGTGGGGGCGTGGACCACATCCAAGACAGCAGACATTATAATGTTGGCCATGCAAACATATGCAGTTCAACAGGCTGGACAGAAAGTGGACCACCTTCGACGCTGTTTAGCCGTCGTCGAGAGACGGTTGTTTGACCAAAAGCCAGAGCACGAACGACTGCGATACATGCGACAGTTCAGAGACGGCTACGCGGTCTGCACAAATATTCCAGCTGCCAACCTCAAACAAGCCCAGCAGCAACACGACGACAATATGCGATTGACCAAGACCGACGCCAATCTTGCAAAGGAGCTTGTCAACCACAGACAACTCGCACCAAGCCAACGCGCGCCGCGTGCGCCATCACCCCGTGCGTAAGACGTGCAGTTCAACAAGTACCGAAGAGAAAAAGCATCTCTCCAGCCATTCAAGGCGTCGCCAGCAAACCACGACGGGCAGGACGAGAGCTCACGACTGAAGACACTCCTTAAAAGGCATTTGGTGACCTACAAGCAAGCGGCCATACGATTCAAGCACTTCGCACAGCCAACGAAGACGAGACCCACGACCCGAACCTACGACAACGACTTCTTAGCGACGAAAACGCAATGCAGCGCTTGCAGACGGCCTGCGATTATGTGTCCAGCGATTGTCGCGAGACGCGAGCTCAGGCCCAGGCGCTGCAACAAGTAGAGCTACAACTGCGAGCCAACGAGATGACTGTGCGACGACTGGAGGAAGCGGAGCAACGGCATGCGCGCAATACGACGACGCAAGCAGAGCAGTATCACCAGCATATCGAAAGCACCGCAGCGCAAGCACTCAACTACCACGCGCAACTTACCTGGCGCAAGCACAACAGCGAACGACTCGAGTCTCAAACAGTTGTAAGGCAAGTGGAGGAAGCCCAAGCAACCGTCGGCGAGCTACGACGAGAGCAGCACTTTGCGACGCAACTGCGCGCAGCCAACGCCAGGCGCCCAGAGGGCGCTCTCAGATCCGAGCACAAGACTGAAGAGGGCATGCGGCGCACAATTCAACATATCCACCACCGCGACGACATGGAACAGCAGAAGTCGCAAGCAAGCAAGCGCCATGCATCAGGGTGGCCGAGTGGGGAATGCAACTCCTAGAACAGGGACTTCCACGGTAGATGGCGCAATCACGTCGGCGCGCGCGCCGGCGCCAGAGACGCGAGGGGCAGCGCGTCGGACGGGCGCAACGGATGCACGTCAACGAGGCTTGCGTTTTTGAGAACTAGCAAGACGTGAAAGCAGCTGCCATCGTGCTGTCCAAAGCAGCAGAACAGGCAGGGCGGCCAAGTCCAGGCGACCAGCCCCGCCTTTACATGGCCGGCGTTGCCAGCAGGGCACGTGAGACTACATTTGGCACTAGCAGACTGCGTTGGAAAAATACATCGAGGCACAAGCGCAATGCAAGCGCTGGCACAAACCAAAGCAAGACGAGCTCATCAACCTCGTGCGACAAGCTCGCCAGCGCGGACAAGAGCTACCAGCGGCGCCCGACAGCGACCACGATTTAGAGAGGCAGACGTGCGCATCGACCGGCTAGTCGACCGCGGGCAAATCATACAAGGAGAGGAACGCCAGGACCGATTGCGCCAGCTTGCCCAACAAGCAGAAAAGGAAATCAAACGACTCCGTGGCGAGCTAGAGGACACCATCGACACGCTAACGACACCGCGCACCGACGGGGTAGCCGACGGAGACGACATGGGTGAGAATCTCAGTAAGAACCCACCGATCCAGTTGTGCAACGACCAGCCCGACGCTCGAATGCGACCAGGCGGCCCACAGACTATCGACTCCTTACGATAAACCGCCGATCTCGCCGACCGAACCGTGCTCACCGAAGGCGCCGCGGCGCCAAACTTCCCGGCCGCGCCCAGCGGGTGCGCCGCGGCCACGCGCGCCAGAGCGCAGAAGAGCAGCGCCGACGCATGGCATGGCCGCGGGGGACATGCCGCAGTGCATCACCGCGCCGCAGCAACAGGAGACGGTTGCGCAATGCGAAACACTGCGACAGTTTTTGTAGAAGAGCTACCCTTCGCCGTACAACGCGAAGTCACGACCAGAGCTAGCCCAAACTACCGACCGCAAGCATCGCGCTCACCCCCTGGGATCGCGCCGTGACACGCAACGAAAGAAGCAGCTGACAACGCGGACGCAGCTGTTCCTGCCTTTCCAGCCTGGCCGCCCACGCCAATCAACTGACGCCCGACTTGGCCCGCGAGGCCCTTGTATGTCTCGCCCACTATGGCTCTTTTTCCAGGCGGCCTCCTGCGCCGCCGAGTGGCAGGGCCACTGCCGCAAGAGACGACTCTTACGGCCAAGGCGCCACAACGCCGCATTTCGTCAACCGGAGCTTTTACCATCGCGTCGAGCAACCTATCCCCGTGATGCCAATGAGCGAATCAGATTGCGACGCGGTCTCTCCAACCTGGCGCTTCACCCTGCAACGCAAGCAGCACTCCCTCTCTACCCCCAGCCATTGCCCACCTGTTCCACAATGCTCATATACCCAGGCGGATCAGTACAAGCAGCGAAGGACAGCTCAGCATGAGCATTTGTAGCATTTCAATGCAAGGGCCAGCGACCAAGCTACCTGGGATACTACGCAGGTAGCATCGCCCACAGCATACAAATCAACATCGACTATAGCCAGTCCGACAGCACCATGGTGGAATTAGTATCCATCACATGGGCAATCTTTCGCGCCGCGCGCAACCATCTCATTTGGACAAATATATTCATACAGACCCTGCTAACGCCATACATTCGCGAAACCAACTACCGTATAGCAGCGAACCTATCACGCGAATTGTTCAAGTTTTATAGCACCAAGCCAAGAATCGCCATTCCCTCACGTTACACCACATCCAGGGGCACGATGATCATCCATGGAACGAGTTGGCGTACACGCTCGTCAAACAGCACGCAGTGGCATACGCCGACTCCGACGCGCCACGTAGATCATCCACATACTTCCACGACCAGACGTGAGGCTGCAAGCTCTACTCGCAGACCGCGCAAGCCTATATTGGACACTCCATCAAAAGGACCCACACGACGACCAGTGCGCAAGTCTCACATCAACCAAACCCGCTCACTGCCAAGCAAACGCTAAACTCCGACGACGACGACCGACCGCAGACACAACCAGCAGCATCCGACGACACAACAGTCATAC